AAAAGAAACCCCCACTAAAATCCAAGACAAAGAACAAGAAAACGGCAAAGCCCTCCTCCCATACATAAAAGGCACCACAGACAGAATCAGTAAGATCCTCCATAAACACAACATCAAAACAGCATTCTGCACAAACAGAAAAATATCCACCATCCTTAGAAACCCCAAAGATAAAATTGAATTAGAAAATCAAGGAGTATACGAAATCCCATGCACCACTTGTCCCACCACATACATCGGACAAACCAACAGAAGAATAAGTGCACGCATTGAAGAACATAAGAACTCAGTCAAAAAAGAGGAACCAACATCTTCCCTGGTCCAACACCTTAAAGCCACAGGACATGAAATTGACTTTAAAAATACCAGAACCATTGCCAAAAGTGAACATTTTAATAACAGAATAATCAGAGAAGCCATCGAGATAGAAAAACGCCCACACAGCATGAACAAGCGAGATGATACCTCCCGCCTACCAGCCATTTGGAAACCTGCCCTTATTGACAAACGACTCCCTAACCCCAAAATCTTAAACCCCTCTGCAACTCAGACTAACCTGAGCACAACCAAACAGAACACTCCCCCAGCCAATCAGAGCACAGCCAAGCCCCTAACCATTCAGAACACACCTCCACCCAATCAGAACACAGCCAAGCTCCCATCCAATCAGTTCATACCCTCACTGGCAGTTAAAAGGAAGAAACAGCTAAAACCACACATTGCTGCTCAAAGCAAGAAGCTAAAAACACCAGCCTGAAGATGACGAATGTGACTTCGTCGAAACGTTGCCAAGACACTTCCAATTTTACGCGGGAGAAAACCCGAACAACCAAAGACATATATATATATATATATATATATATATATTTACATTGCCCCCAACAATCTGGGTCCTCATTTTACCTACCTCGGAAGGATGGAAGGCTGAGTCAACCTTGAGCCGGTGAGATCTGAACTGCTGACCTGCTGAACACAGTCAGCTAAAGTGGCCTGCAGTACTGCACTCTAACTTCTTGCGGGGGAAAAAAAAGATCTCGCAAAGTTGGAATTGATTGATTGAACTTTTTAGTCCCACCCAGCCTGCCATTACCATGGCAGCCATGCCCACCCAATGGCCACACCCACCCAATGGGCCACGCCCACCCAATGGGCCACGCCCACCTGGTACCCGACAATACATAAGTGGGTTTTAGGTTGCAGTTTGGGCATTCAGTCTCTAAAAGGTTCGCCATCACTGGCATATAACTATGTTTAAAAAGTACAGAGCTACATATAATAGTATGTATATAATTAAAGATGTGAAATTAACTCGCTTCATTAGCATTCATGAGTAGCAAAATACTTTCAAAATTTCTAGATATGGCTGGAAGCATAAATAGGACAAATATTTTAAAGACCTTTCTCCATTGCTGAGTTGAATTATTATCCATCTGTCCTTGAGTTAGCAGGAATCTACATTGCATGAAATTTGTTGTCCTCATTGCCAATTCCTGTCCTGACCTTGATTCCTAGTAGCCATATATATTCATCTGAAACTTTGAACAGAGCATGGTTAAAAATAAGACAAAGGCAGTTGTAGGGTTTTTTTTTTTTTTCCTTCTGTGTGAAATAGGTGCAGGGATGTTAATTGCTGCAAGATCTAAAGGAACCCAGCGCAGGCCAGTGATTTTCATTATTGTTCTCTGCATGTCTAGTAGTCATAAATGAAGACAATCTTGGATCATCATCACCTTCAAACTGCTTCTGAAAATATAGGGTAGAGAAGTGCAATATGTTTGCCCCTCTTTTCAGGAAGTATAGCTCTTACTCTTTGCACTTATACATTCCAGTGGGAAAGAAGAACTTCCCCAGAATTATAGATCCATTATTCATTAAATAAATGGAGGAAAAAGGGAAATAGATGTGAACTGCACAGATATTCTTATACAGTACTTTCAGTTCAGTCCCACTGATGCTAAAAGTTGTCCCTGAAGAATAGTTTAAACATTTGCTTTTTTTGAATTCCCCTGGGAAATTGATGGGAGTTTAAGCAGGCAAGAATTTATAGCTCTGCAATCTCACAAGATTATAATTTATTTCACAGATGACAAACTCTTGTCCTGCCCTAGTTATTGCTGCCTGTAAATCTATCCTTCAAAGTACTTTTGTCCTTGCTTGGTTGCTCTGACCTCAGCCAGCATCACTGCATTTCTTATCAAAGACGACTTAACTCCCATTCAATTGGAAGAAACTTTTAAAGTGTTTATCACTGCACATAATACTTGCTGATCTGAACCTAAATATTTAAGCTAAGACAGGTTCTGTTTTTTTACAGCGAGACTTTTTGCTCCAGACTTATCTCATCTGTCAAATGACAACTGGTTTATTAAACAGATGCCATTCAAAATAACGAGAAAAGGCTGAACAAAACTGTATCCAGTAAATTTATAAAATAATTATAATTGAACTGCATTAGCTTGATTTGTGATGACCTACAATTATGGCTAGATGGTTTGGTTTGTATGATGAGTAATCTGAAGGCATATGCAACAGCTATTTACTTTGGATCTACAGAGCTTTTACTACAGATATTGCAAGTCATCAGGGAAGCCTCTAGTTCACGGATCCTCAATCCCCAATCCATGGATCAGTACCAGGCCGCGGCATGCCAGCAACAAACAAGCAAAGCCCCATCTGCAGGATGCAGGCAGCACACAAAACTACGCCTTCTCCGGTCCGTGGAAAAACCTCTCTCCACGTAACCAGTCCCTGATGCCCAAAAGGTTGGGGACCTCTGCTCTAGTTAGTAGTTTGACTGCACATGTATTGCTTGCTGGGGTAGTGTGATCCTCTGCTTTTTATACATCCATCAAACAAAAATTACTCAGCTCTGTATGCAGTTAAATCTAACAGAGGCACTTGTGTGGCAAGCAAGTAAACCCAAAACACAATCACAGACTATTAGATAAAAGAAACCAAGTTGAGGCCCCTAAAAGCTCTTACTAGAAACATAAGAGATACACCTGCACCCACAGGAGAGCTCTATTAGGCCCCTGGTCCCAGTGCCCACGTGAATAATCCAGGTCAGCAGGATCAGATATTTGACTGTCTGTATCTTGGGGGAAGAAGCACCATGAAAGGGAAGACAGCTTTCTAGGATTCAGCAAGTGATGCTGCTTCACTGAAGGAGCCAAGATTGTGCTTACTCTGCCAGATCTGGTGGGATGGGCAGAAACCACTGGGGAGCAGAGGTTTCATAAAGTAACTTGTTCCCATGTCACCTAGGGTTTTAAATGTGACAATGAACACCTTGAACTGCACCTGGAAGTCTATTAGGAGCCATCAGAGTGCAGTATTTACATAGGTATACTGTGGAGCACTCAATACTATCTGTGCCACTGCATTTTGGACCAGCTGCAGCTTCTGAATGCTCTTCAGGGACAATCTCATGTAAAGCCTATTACAGTAATCCAAATTGGAAGTGACAAAGGCACGAGTGACTATGAGTAAGGCTTCCCAATCTATGGACAAGCACAATTGGCACACAAGACGCAATTGTGCCAAGTTTGTCCTGGCAATGGCTGCCATCTGTTTCTCAAGCGGGAGCTGAAAATGCAGGAGTATCTTCAAATTACGCACCAACTCTGCCTGGAAGTCTGTTATCTCATTCAGAATCAATGAGCCCAGGGCAGGGCTCTGGAGTATAACGAAGTATCATAAGAGTACTGATTTTTGACTCCATGCTGACAGATGATCTTGCCCAAAGTTTTCATGTATATGTTAAATAGGAATGGGAAGAGAATTGAGTTCTGTGGAATGCTGCAAAAGTGAAGCTAGATTTCCAAACCAATTATTCGTGTAATAAGATATATAAACTAGTGCAGGGGTAGGCAACCAATTCCTGAGCCAGCTGTGCTGGCTCAGGAATTCTGGGAGTTGAAGTCCACAAGTCATAAAAGAGCCAAGGTTGCTTACCCCTGAACTAGTGCATAAGAAAAGTATGAACACCTTTGAATGTCTGGCCTTGCTTGCATCTTTAAGTATGATGCTATTCCCTATTACTGTAATTCTCTATGTTAAAAAAAATAAAATAAAAATCAGTTCATGAGTACAGCTGTAATGCTTTCTGCTCTTCCACTGAGAAAACTTCTGATTAAATAAGGGAAGAAATGAAATTGTAACATATAGATGTACTTCTCAGTTGAATATGGAAGCTCATTCTTCTTAATAATGGTAAGATGACCAGTGCCTTTTTCATGCAATTAGTTACAGAGACTTAACACAAGTAAATGAAAGGAACGTCAGCGCCAGAGTGTACAGATCCATATATTTTCTTGACTTGGCATTAGAACTTCCCTCTTGCTGCACTGTCAATCCTGGGCTAACAAGGACAAATGTCCAGTTTTATATGTCCACATTCTAGGGGGATAATAAAAACAGGACTAACTGATCAAGGAACATGTATGGGATTCCAGAGAATAATAAACATGAGATTGTAGACCAGTGATGGCAAACCTTTTAGAGACCGAGTGCCCAAACTGCAACCCAAAACCCACTTATGCATCGCTGAGTGCCCGGTGGGCGTGGCCCATTGGGTAGACGTGGCTGCGGTGGTAACGGCAGACTGGGTGGGACTAAAAAGTTCAATCAATCAATTCCAACTTTGCAAGATCTTTTTTTCCCCGCGAGACATTGAAATTGACTGATTGAACTTTTTTTTTTTTTTTGCACACGGCGGCGGAGGCCTAAAGCAAAAAGGTTTTATAAAACCCAGCTGAAGGCCTAGGACTAGGGCAACGACGCGCGTTCCCACAGAGAGGGCTCTGAGTGCCGTCTCTAGCACCATGCCATAGGTTTGCCACCACTGCTATAGACTGTGTGGCTTAAATGGTTTAAATAACAAGGCATTAAAACATTCATGCTTTGAAGTCATCAATTTGCATAAATGTTTTTTTTTATAAATCAGGTATTTTTAAAAATCCTACAGTATTTAATAGGAAAAAAAACAAGTACTGTTGTAGTTTCTTTAGTTTTTAAAACATTTATTCCAGAATAATATATTTAATCTAGTATTAAATTAGCTTTTCCTTTTTAGCAATATTATTTTATTCTGTTTTTGAGACAAGATACAATAACATAGAAAAAACAATTTAGTACAAAAGGTATACACACATACAATTCTACATACACCACCCACATACACATAGCCCCCATCTTCACAGTAAGCCATATCAGTATCAAATTATTTCTTACGGTTTAGATTTTAAAAATTATATTTGCTTTATTTTTGGACCATTAGTCTAACATACTGGTGTGAGAGTGTGTGCCTGATTTTCTGAATATTGAATGCATTGAGAAAATTATAAAAATAGCATTCCTCTTAATTTCCCTAAATTTGAAATGTAAATGGTTTGATTGAACCAGTTATTAACATTTGTTTAGCTGTGAAAATGTAGTAATAAACAACAGCATTTGTATAAATGTGACTCTTACATAATATAATTTTGAACATAATTAACTGTGATAAAGTCTTACATTTTAATGTGCTAATAGCAGTAAAATACATAATACTAAATGATTCGGATGGTATGTCACAAATATTCCAATTGCTAGATAAATAAAGGTTTCACACCTATAGGGAGTGAAAAGTTGCCCCTTTGCTGGAACTAAAGATATAGGGTATATTAAAGATATAGGTTATATAGATCAAAGCTGACACCAGCAAGATCATAGAAAAACTAAACAAACTAGTGCAAGATCAGAAGATGCAGAGAGACCTGGCCCACAGAATCACCAAGAGTTGAACAGGACTGAATGGATAACATCATGATCATCCTCATAATCAAAGATATAGGAGAAGAAGAGGTGGAGCCTGGAGGAGGAGTCAAAAGAGGAATCAGACTGGAGTCATTTCATTCCCAAAAATGATCCCAGCCCCTTTTGAATTCCATTGACCCTTATCTAGTGCCAATTAATGCAGACTGTTATTTGACTAGATTCTTGTATAGAGTTATGAACAATAAATTTTCTTAACTGGAATGTAACCTTGTGGTCCTGAAAATGTCTTAGAAATAGGAGAAGAGGAAAGAGACCTGAAACCATGAAAGCCAAGGGGCAGGAAATCCAAAAATAAACAAATGGGGTCTGAAATAGAAGCTGAAGAAAGAAGGAATGAAGGAAGAGATGAAGAAAAGATAAGTAATTAGGGTTACAATCACTTAGGCATCAAGTTATTTAGACCCTGACTGGGTTGCTGTTTTAAAGGGATAAATAGAGGGGAAAGAGCACCACTGCAGCATGATCCCAGGCATCCCTCAGAGAGGCTGTATGAAACAAGAAATAAGGGGTGGTAGCCAGTGGTGGGATTCAAATATGTGAACAACCGGTTCTCTGTGTGGATGCTGCTTCCAGAAGTCCATTCTGGGCCTGGGCAACAAAAAATTAGCTACCGGTTCTGCTGAAGTGGTGCGAACTGGCTGAATCTCACCACAGGTGGTAGAATCAAGGAACTACCAACTCAGACAAACAAACTAACATTGAACACTTGCCCAATCAAGAAACCACCAAGACCACTCCCATTAACACTTGTACAGCAAGCCACTAGTACCCTATTTCCCCGAAAATAAGACCTAACTGGAAAATAAGCCCTAGCATGATTTTTCAGGATGCTCATAAGCCCTACCCTCAAAATAAGCCCCACTTAAGAGCGTTTGCCAGAGAGATGCATTTATTACCATATTTCCCAGAAAATAAACCCGAATGCGTCTTTTGAAGCAAAAATTAATACAAGACCTGGTTTTGTTTTTAGGGAAATACTGTATATAAAACACTGATGATGTTACCCTAGTTTGATAATGATGTGTCTGCAAAAAAACAACCAAGCTCAGAGAGCCCCAAGGCCCACAAATAAGGGGTGTCCATACACTTGCACATGCAAGCACATATTTGAACGTCCACATTGATTTGTACCAACAACCTATTTTTTGTTCCATCAGCCTTCACTTAACTTATGGAAATCTCTCCAATACTCAACTAGTGGATCATGAAAGGTGACCAAAAGAAGGTTGTTTTAGAAATTTGCACAGGCCAGGTTATATGTATCCAGACACTGTTAAAACAAAAAATGAAAGGAAATTATTGTTATTACTGGATAGGTTAGAAAATGTGTTAATTAAATGAGGATTTGCTATGTGTTTGAAATATTTTAAGAGCCAAAAGAATCCTTTTAAGAGAATGGGTTTATGCAATCCTTTCCACTAGGAGGCAGAGTCTCCACTTGGCAGGAATTTGAAATAGGAGTGATAAAAAAAATTGGAGACAATCCAGGACTGACATAGCTAAACATGTGGCGGGGTTGATTGGAGAGACTTGCTCAAATGCAATAATAAGTGCCAGAATACAGAATGTCATAATTCAGGAGGTAGGCTTGGAAAAAGCCATGAAGGAAAAGCCATGTAGAAAATAATGCAGAATTTTATATAACATAAATAATATATTATATAAATAACATTATAAAAATATGGGAGAGCTGTGAATTGAGAAATGGGAAGTTGTTTTTAAAATGGAATAAAAGCATTTTGTCCCAGATGACCTCCCCTTTCTTATTCATATGGTGGTGGCAAGCCTCCGGTTCTGAAAGGTTTTTTATTTTGAGCCTTTCCTCTCAAGAAATGTCTAATTATGAGAAGTATTAACTTTTAAAACTATGAAGTACATAGTTAAAATGCATAGTATTACTGGGCTGGAAAGGAACTTCAGTTAGACAGCCCACTTAGTCCCACTATTCAAACTCCTGTAAGATTGCTTTTTTTCTATGCTTAATTACAGTGGATGTTGCCTTTCAAAGCTGTCTAATCCTGCAAAATAGAAAAAGCCATGATATGGTCCCATTTTTTATTTAAGTTGATCCTCCATATCAACAGTTCAATTTAATGGACAATAAAATCCTATTCTTCCAACAAGCAGCCTCAGCAAAGATTAACATTCTCATTCTCCATGTGGTCTGAGTCTTCCAACTCAATCCCCGGGACAAGGTTGTAATAATCTACTGATTGGTTCATGTAGAGCTTCTCACGGTCTGCTGAATCCCTCAAAACATCTGTTACACTCAATGTCTCTGCTTCATCTATCATCTCTTCCTCTTCAATGACTGGTTTTGTTGTTCCCAACTTTTCTTGGTCGAGATTTCTACATGACAAGGAATCATCAGAAGCCCCCAGTTTAATCTCCACTTCCTCAGAAAGATCTCTGCTGCTCTCTAATAGTGCAGTTGAAGGTTTAAGCAAAAGTTGATTTCTCAACATGTTGTTTTCACTCTCTGCAGCACCATGAGCAGGCATAATAGGTGGAATAGAGCACTGATGATCATCTGATCTATTGGTTCCATTGTTCTCCACTGTAGCCAACTGGCATTCTTTTCTATCATGAAGTGTATAGCCCGTCTTTCTCTTTGTCTTCTTTTTGTGCTTGCAGAAGTAGCAGGTGACCAAGACAAGAACAGCAACCAGAGGTAAGCAAATAAACAGAGCTGTGAGTCTATGAGTCTGGCACAATTCTGCCTTGGAAATGTTTTTGATATTTATGCCATGGTAATGTTCTGGGGTGTGACAAACAATGTCAAATGAACTAAGGATATATTTTCCTAGATGTTCAAGAAAGTTGCAAGTGCAATCCCAACTGTTGTGAGAGAGACCAAGTGTGAGGAGGGAAGGTTTGAAAATCCCAGAAGGAAGGGAAGATAAGTTATTGAAATCAAGGTAGATCTCCTGAATTTGGTTAGACGTTTCCAGAAATGACTTGGATAAATTCTGGAGTTGATTGTTCTCCAAGTGAATAACACGCAGTCTAGGTGCATGTCTCAGGAAATTATCAGGAAGCCAATTTAATTTGTTATGGTCCAAGTACAGAATTTCCAGGCTGAAAGAATCAACACTTACATTCTTAATATGTGATATACCACAGTTTGATAGATACAGCTCTTTCAACCCTACAGTTCCAGAAAAGATGCTCCAATCCAAAGTATCGATTTTAGTCCTTGTGAAATTCAAACAACATATCTCAGGAGCTAATTTAGTCCTAGATTTCTGGAAACTGAAATCTGTGCTGCAGTTGCAGGTCTTTTCCATTGCTCCAAATGTAAATTTGGTTGCTAATAGCATCCCACCAAAAAATATAACTGTCCATTTCTTCTGATCTAAATCAAAAAAATGGCAAGTATTAGACATTTTGCACAGATTTGCATTATGAATTGCAATTAGAAATCAACACTTTCTGCGGTTAATTCACTGATTCAATAAACAATGATCAGCCAAATACAATTATTCTAAATTGAATTGCAATAATTTACTTCACTAATAGGTTATATCAAAATTAACTGTACTGATCATGGAAAGTCTTCTTCCATTCAGAGAAGACACTGAGATCCATCTGAGGCAAACATGGCTGATTCTTCCATTCCATCACTTTTTGCTCAAGCTGAACAAAAAAGTCCCCCAACTTTTGAAAAGAGCTTTCATCACAATGGAAGTATCAGATATCAGATAATTTTTTTAAAAAAGAAATGCTGCAGCCACAAAATAGGACAACAAGATGTTTGCATTATAACCAGAATTTGTACTCCAATATGTATGCAAAGTAAAACAATGTTTTAAAATGGTTGCTTGTCACTTTCTGGGAAAAGCTAGCAGTTTTTAGGGTTCAGGGAACAGCACTAACCAACTTGGGGTACAGCATCATAAAACAAACACTATGAGGCTAGTCTGTTTATATGATTGCTACTATCATGGGCTGTGTCTCATAGTATCTTGTTCTGTAACGCCAGAGCACAACTCTCAGAGAATCCAAGGAACTTATGGCCTGCCAAGCACAAGTCACTTCCCCTGTTCACAGAATTTTTTTCTTCTTTCTCCTGAGAAATATATTTTTAATGTTAGTGGTGTGCTTCCTCCACTCCTTATCCTGCTATAGATACAAGACTGGTCCTTTCCTTTAGAAGTGAAGTAACTGATTTCTGAAGGAGATGGGAAGGAGAGCTGTGTATTAATGAATTAAAGTTGTTTGCTTGGAGGAAAACAGATATTTTAAAAAAGAGTGAATAAGTAAACATAGACCTGGCTACATGACTGAAACCCCAACTGGGAAGGGGAAATCTTAATCTTTGGTTGATGCTGTATATAGCAATGTTATTATGAAGAAAAACCGCACCCCTTTTTCATTCCAGAAAAGATGTAGCAACATAAGCCTTTTGCTTGGGGGATGCCTTATGCCGATAGTGTATAAATTTGGTATCAATTAAGCATTTCCATACTACAGCATGCCACTTGCTCCAAAAAATCCTCAGTATAATATCTTATTTTGACTAAGAGCATCAAGTTAACATAGCCACTAAGTCATATAAACTAAATGCTGAATGTATTAAATGATCAAATGTATTGTACAATCCAGTAGTGTTTATTTATTTTTATTTATTTTATTACATTTATATATCAAATTTGGAGACTGTCCATCTCCCTCGCTGAGAAACTCTAATAGGTAGATAAATAGCTTAGCAGTAAATCATAGCTTAGATATGAACTCTGCCAGTTTGGGCTGTCCATAGCTGGAGCAGAGTAAAATAGTGATTCATATTGTATTTGTTATGAAAGCAAGCCAGCAAGAGATCATTCTAATGATTCCTCTTATATACTCTGATCATTCCTGTCTTGTTGAGCTGTAGAACACAGGCTGCCTTGAACTCTTTAAATTAGCGCACTCTCTCAACTGAAAAAAAAAAAATCCTACTTGTTGAAGGAAGATTCAACTTCTACTTCAGATCATTTGGCAGCAAAATGGCCCTGCTTTCTGTTCTCACCTCTCACATGTTGAAGAGTTTTGCAGCAACCTCGTCTAATGTCAGAAAATAATGACTGTATACCAAAGGAACAATGCTACTTTACAAAGAGCAACCACTTCTTTCTTGTTGCTAGGAAATAATCACATCATTATTAAGTTGTAGTTGGTTTAGTCTGTGGCTGGTTTCACAGATTAAAGTCATAATATGATTTCTGTGACTTTGACTTAAGATATTATCTGAACGATAAGCAAGCAAATTTATAGACATATTTCCCATGAAGTAAACTCCTGCACACATACATTTAAATGCTCATAATTAATAAAGAACAATTAAGTCCTTTAATCACTATGTTTTTGCAATATTAGAATAAATTATGTTAGAAGTTTAGAAATTATTTTATCTATCGGTAGGAACACAGAGAGTACAATAGGAAGAAACATGAAAGCATTTAACATTTTCAAATACTGTATATACTATATACAGAATGCACTAGATGAAACAGAAAATACTACACTTGATCTTAGCCAAATGCCAAGATGAAACAGAAGCTTCAAAGCTTCAAAAGATATTGCAGGCCTATGTAAGATTAATTGCTGGAAAGTTGAGTTGCAACATTCAGGAAGAGCTAATTGGCTTTATGTTAGTATCTCCCAATAATTTCCAATAAGGTTTAAAGCAGATCCAGTCACTGCTATGATTTTGTAATGTTTTCCTTCTACCATTGTGTTGAATCGGAAGTTGTGGTATGGTGGCCCCCGGGCTGGATACACTGATTTAATCTACATACCGCAGGAACAATTAGCAGGCCTTGAGCCAGAATAGAATCCCACCCCAGCTCTTCCTGACCAATGACATCAGCTTTTCCTTCTCAGGCTTGGTTCTCAAACATCCCTGACACTTAAAATAGAATATTAAGATCATTAATAGTCATTTGGATGAATAGTCAAACTGAATGAATTAATAAGTATTAGTTTCCAGAAGAATTTACAACATAAAGGGAGAAACCCACTGTATTACACTTTTAAGGTTAAGTCACATCAATGTTGATGTTAATGGAGATTGAAGTATGCTTATGCTAGATGTTTTGGACTATTGCATCCATTAACACAAATAAACATGACCAAATAAAAAGGTGTTATGTAAACTGTAATCCCAAGCAATTGAAAAAAACAACCAGATAATAATCTGATGTAAATTATATAATTTAGTACCCAATGTATTATACCAATTTATGATAGTCGGACAAAAATAATTAATGGGAAAACTTTTGTGGAAAAGGTATAACCTAACACTGCTGATTGTTAAAATCCTGGATTTTAAATGGATAGTTTATTCCACAAACACTCTTTAGCTGCACAATTTCTTTTGAAGCATCTGATCCTGGGTATTCTATTTGATCAGTGATATTCTCAAGGCAGCCTGTGATCACTTTGTTTACAGTTCTTTCATAGTTAGCACTACCATTATATGCAGCAAGCAGGCACCGGCATTGGTAACAGTTCCTGTTGAGCTACTATTCTAATGTTACTGATCTTTGCTTGTTGCTGGAATGGATCGCTAGTGTCACTTGGCCTCTTCCCAACATATCACTGACCGTACTGAGAAAGGGCCTTGACTGAGCAAGCAGGCAGAGATGCACTCTTATACTGTTTGCTGCTTTTGATGGTGTCTATTGCTTCAATTGCAAATTTATTTTTGCTTTTGATGATGTCTATTGCTTCAACTGCACATTTATTTGAGCAGAGAGCATGCAGGTAATAGATGGGGCAGTGACAGTTGTTAAAGGATAGTTTTGTCAGTGTCTTCTCAGTGTCCTTAAAGTGGCCTGCTGTCCTTGGGTGCAGTGAAAGATGTTATCTCCTCACTATTGATGACAGAGTCAACTAACAGCTAGTCTGTTTTTGTGTATACAGTGAGAACCTCAAACATAATAGAACCTGTCCCCTAATACTAAGGTTTTTGAAAAAATATATGTATCCTAAGAAGCACAAACTGCTTTCAGATTAGCAAATGAATCATTGATCCACCTGTCAGTTTGCTGTAAAGAGAAAAGCTACCTCAATATGTTATCTAGAAGGGCAGGAAATTGTTGGCTTCAAAGCAGAAAAAGTCCTCGGAATATTCTTGTCATGCATTATTGCATGGAGTAGGTGAATGAATCATGACTGAACTCCTTGATCCCTACCACTTACGTTATCTCAAAAAATCTTCTGCTTTTGAAAAGCAAGTTAGGGTTACACTTGAAAGATTGCACAGGTTTTGTGAATGGGGTCATTATCTCCAACTTTAAAGCTACAAGCACCTGCTAGCTCCTTATCTTACAAATGCCATTGAGATGGAAGAGACAACTGATTAGGAATACAATTTTCCTTGTGTGAGTTATACACAAGCAAATTGCAGAATTCACTTTCTTTTCTCCTATGATTCATGAAGATGGGCAAGGAGGAGGCAAGAATAAGGAAACTTTTAGTCTCTCAGTGCTCTTCTGGGAAATCCAAAAACTCCCAGTGCTGGAGTCCAGTCTGGAGCCAACAGGAATGTCCTTACTAGCAACTCTTTGGAGAAAAAAAGAGGCTGTAGGCCCCCAGTACACAGGATACACATTCTGTTTATTGAGGACTCGTCTAATAGTAGATTCCATGCCATCAACCAGGTCTTTTATTTGGAAAGAAAACTGAAACTCAAAAAAGTATCTCAGAGGATGCAATTATTTCAGCACAGTATTGTGAAAAGCAAATGCAGCCTCACTCAACTTTGTGCTGTTCTGGTTATAATCATTCCATTGCAAACTATAAAATAAAATAACCCCGCATCTTGAATAGTGATCCCCCGGATACCTGCTGCCCTCTGCAGTACCGGAAGTGCAACTGTCCGGAGAGAATAGCAAGTCAGAAACTGTGGGAAACGGCAGAGAATATTGACAGCAGTTGGAAAGGGATACTCTTTTAATTTAGTACAATACTTCATTCAGCCAAGCTGTAGTAATGAGAGACTCTTTATTTCTTTTTTCAAGACTCCAGCACCGTTCTGAAAATCGGCCCGGTCTTTAGCATCTTTTTATTTTATTTTGGTTTCTCTGCTGTATTTCATTTGGTGCTTTTAACCCTTTTTTCCCCTCTTCTCCTCAGCCCACCCCCCGCAGAAAATGGGGTTGGGGATCCGTGAATGGTTGGCTGGAAGAGGGAAAACGGATCCCACCCAAGCTACTATACCCTGGAGCGGGCGGAAGAGTAACTCGAGCTGCCTTACAATTGCCTTTTCTTCGCTTGGGACCACTGCATAACAATCGCTCCCGCTTCTTTAAGAGTCGTCTGCAAAAACGCGGTGTTCTTCTTTCTCAAAATAACCGGAGCCTGGTCTGTCTCCCAGGATACAAGATTATAAACAGAAGGCATCTCCCAGCGGCGGCCTGGCAAACGTCCTCTTGCCGCGGGATTAAAGCCCAAAGGCCCGCGCGGACCTCTTTCCCTTCCGGACTTCCCCCCGTCTAGCCAGGCTGCAACAGGGCCGACTCTCCCGTCCATCCCAGCTCCTTTAAGCCAATTCCCCTGGCCGTGTCCGGAAAAGTAGAGTTTGGTCTCGGCCGGAGTCCTAGGAGTGAGGGAAGCGGCACCCAAGAAACCAAGCGACGCCCCCTCCCTTTTGCCTTCTTTTCTGGGACACCTGTTGACCTGCGCAAGGAAAGGAAGGGCTCCCTGAACAGGTCCTTCAGTGCCCAGCTAGCGAGGCACCGCGCTCACACTTCCCAAGAAGGCGCGCTCCGACGGCCGGGAAGCCTGAAAACTCCCTTGACCGTCGAGGATGGCGGGCGACGAAAGAGAATCTCCTGGATCTCCTGAATCGGCCTGGAGAATCTCCAGCTACTCACCTGCCCCCGATGGCCTGTCCCGTCCCATTGTCCGGACGCGTCGCGGGAAGCCCGGTCAAGGCTTTTCCATGCCTAGCTCAGGCTCGGGAAAAGGCGCTCCTCGCTGAGCGAGCCTCCTCGGGCAGCGCCGGGCTCTGCCTTCTTCCCCGGGGCGTGGCCCTCCCGACGCCCGAGAAACTGTTGGAAACGGCATCTCGTGGAGAGGAGGGAGAACCGAGCCGGCGGGCGCCTGTACGCTTCCTCCCGCCAATGCTCGCTGCTGCACCCGCTTTGGGGGGGGGGGCTTCGCCTGCCTCGAGAGACCGCGTTACCCCCGCGGAGTTTTTGGGTGGCGGGCTTCGAATCCAGGAAGACTCGCTTTCCGCCTCCCCCAAGAAAGAGTTCAGGGAGAGCCGAATGTGCGCCTCGCCCTACACCGGGAGTGACTAATCTGAGTAGACATTTTTATTATTATTTTACTTCAGCTTTCACCACTAAATAGTCCATAATTGTTTTGTGTCATATTTAAAGACTGCATGGTTGGTTCCATGAGTATGGATACTATTATGATTATAATTATAATTATCACCCCATTTTCCTTAGTCTGTACATTTTTTTTCTTTCGCTGATGAATATTAGATAGGCAATCTGTCTAATAGTCTATCTAACCCTGCATAGATAAATATCATAATCCAAGAATTAGGATGAATTATTTTTCATAAATCACAGCGGCTAAATGACAGTAGCTTACAAGGAGGGTTCCTTTCAAACTTCAGGAGATTATATAATTCTAAATTTGGTTCCTAACTGCTATTCTTTACTTGTAGACACACATAATACATATGTATCCATCATGTTATTTCCTTTCAGGCTAGGCAACTTGGGGGGGAGGGGGGAATGAGAAGTAACGAGCCAAGTAAATTAAAATCAGGAAATAAGGAAAGAAAAACTAAATCTAGTTTACTTTAATCTCAGTCTCTAAACCTTTCCATAGCATTTTATTGTTGCAAACTATATTTGCTTCCACTGTATCATACACTGAGTCATATATTCTTTCTTTAAACTTCTTACTTCATTTTTTTCTGAAGGATCTCATGAACCGCATCCAAATCTGACTTTCTCAGTCAGAGAAAGTACCTAAGATTTTAATAATTTGCTAACAGATGGCCTACATAATTCTCCGGCCATTACAGTTGTTGATACTGTGGGTAAACAACGCCTTTTAATTGCTCAGCAATGTATTCGCTTGATCATATCACTGCAATATTAACATGCTGAAATATGTTTGAATATCAGTAGCTCGGGTTGGTGGTTAAGGCTGTTGGTTTGAGCCCCTAGCTTGGCAATTTGATTGCAAACCTTTCATCACCATTCGAGGAGACATCGTCAGGGCGCTTTGAATTGTGCTCGTCTGCCAGAACGCTGGCCTTTAAATACCTTTTTATGTGATGTGAATTGATATTAACATGCTGCCTGGCAAAATCTGGGAGTTGAAGTCCATACTTTTTAAAGTTGTTGCAATTGATAAACACTGCTCTATGGGGTTAGCAGTAACAATATGAGACCACTCTTGAATAAAGATATGAATATCTATCTATTTATTTATTTATTTTATTTAGCATACGGCATATAATACATGGACTAGAAATATATATTAACATTTAACAAATATATGAAATCTCCCCTCTAATGGAAGGTGCAAATGATCTTGGGAGACAGGGAAGAGCCACAACCAAGGCCACTGTCCAATAAGAGGCAGTTTAGTCTGCAGCAGGAAAGTCAGATTTGGATGCGGTTCATGAGATCCTTTAGAACAGCGGTTCTCAACCTGTGGGTCGGGACCCCATTTGGGGTCGAACGACCATTTCACGGGGGTCGCCAAACAACGCAGTCCGCCATTTTTTCCCCTTTTCCAACCAGGGCCACTGTCCAATAAGAGGTAGTTCAGTCTGCAGCAGGAATGTGGATATGGCAAATATCTCAGAAGGGACCCTCCCTAGTTTCTTGAGCTACAAAGGCGAGAAAGAAGAAGTGTAACTTTAGACTTGCAAGATGGATGTCAGCGTTCTGAGTTAGTCTAGACAAGAAATACACCTGGAAAAACTAACCTTTTAATTACAGGTGGTCCTTGACTTACAACCACAATTAAGCCCAAAATTTCTGTTGCAAGTGAAACATTGTTAAATGACTTTTGCCCTATTTTTACAACCCTTCTTGCCACAGTTGTTAAGTGAATCACTGCAGTTGTTAAGTTAGTAACCCGGTTGTAGAGTCAATCTGGCTTGCCCATTGACTTTGCTTGTCAGAAAGTAACAAAGGGTGATCACAGGATCCCGGGACACTGCAACCGTCATAAATATAAATTAGTTGCTAAGCATCCAAACTTTGATCACATGATCATGGGGATGCTGCAATGGTCGTAAGTGTGAAAAATGGTCATAAGTCCCCCTTTTCAGTGCTGTTTTAACTTCGAATCATCATTAAACGAATGGTTGTAAGTCAAGGACTATCTGTATAAGGTTTCATAAATAGAACCTTCTACGTTTGCCTTGCTTACATTCCTGCTGCAGACTAAGCTGCCTCTCATCCAACAATTACCTTGCCTAAGCTCTTCCTTGTCCCCCAAGGTCACTCACATATATCATTGCATTCCCAGATTCACATATTCATCTAGAAGGATGCTAAGTTCCATTTATTCTTGCTTCATCTCTGTCTAAAAAAGTTTTGTTTGGGCCATTTGAACATAAGTTAATTACTGAGTCAGATGCTAAAGGGTGAGCAGATAGATATGCTATTCATAATTTAAAAAAAAACACCTTAGACATTATTCCCATCCACCAAATGTTTCTTTATCATGCACAATAAAGAAGGGGTCACCTTGTGTCTTACTTTCCATCTCTATTTTGCCCCTGCTATGTACGTAAAAATGCTAAAGTTGGAACAATCAAAAGGAACAATCCTCTCTTTAGGGGATTAACCCTCTTATTGAGAGTTAGGCCAGGTTAATTAATTAAAACATTTCCTAATTCTAAGACAGCATCCTGTATCAGCACACAGTAATTTGTTTCATCTAACATGGTTGAACCCAAGAGTTCCACTCAAACTCTGGCATTTAAATTCAGGGCTTTAAAGCAAGCACCTGGACAAGTAAGCTATGTTAGGATGATTAATTTTCCTCAGAGGATCTTCAATAAGGTCAAATGGAATATTATTTGAACTTACTTATCCTTCAAATCACAGTTGCTCCATTCCAACCAGACAGTACAGGTTGATGATACCACTCTTCTTGGTGCAGTCTAATGTGGTGTCTTCCAAAGAAAAACACAGAGTCAGAGTTAATTTGTTAAGGGGAAAGGAACTTGAGGATTGATTTCAAACATGAAAGCAGGTATAGGTCAAGGCCTATGCATATAATGCTGGCAGTGAGTTGGCTGTGACGAGTTGTTCTAGAGAACCTTTCCAAGAAAAATCACTGACCCGTGGTCTTGCCAAATGGATAGTGCCCAATGCTTCAATTATATGTATAACTATTCTATTTGCTCTTAGTAAATATTGCATGGGAAGAAAAAAAAATGAAACAGTTAAAAAAGGAGGATGTTTTCTGGCTCTCCCCTAATATTCTATGAATGATATAGTATAGTGACACATACAGGTTTGCTTGGACTAGAACCAGCCCTGGAGAAACGAAACGCTTTGCAAGGCATCCAGGACACAATATAGTAAGCCGCATTTCTGTCTTAATGCTGTAATGTCAATAGTTTTATACCAGTGATGGTGAACTTTTTAGAGACCGAGTGCCCAAACTGCAACCCAAAACCCATTTATTTATCACCGGGTGCCAGGTGGGCATGGCCCACTGGTTGGGCATGGCTGTGGTGGTCATGGCAGATTGGGTGGGCGTGGCTAGGGTGGGCATGGCCAGCTCAATGTTGCTCGTGGGGAGGGACACCTGTGGGAGCTGGGCAGGGTTAGTCTCTGGCAGATGGGGCAGTGGGCAGGAAGCTCGCAAGGCAAGGAGAGGCAAGGCGGGGGTGCATTGTCACAGGGCAAGGCGAGTCAGGGGCCGGGGAAGCTGCTGCCTGACACCATCAGCCCCTGCACACAGAGGCCAGCGAGCGCATGGGTGCTGGGATGCATCCGGCTATGTGGGACCTCGGCGAGTTAGTGGGCGGCTGGTTGAAGAGGGACAGTTGCCATCTCTGGGGCATGGCGCGCGTGCCCACAGAGAGGGTTCTGAGTGTCGCCTCTGGCACGCGTGCCATAGGTTTGCCACCACTGTTTTATACAGTACCCAAGGTAAAAGTGCCCCTCTGATATGCATTTCTTTGAGTTGTTTCCCTTCTAGCACGAATCAAGATCAAGCGTCTCTGAAAATATAAACCTAGAAGTCAGTGGTACTACAGGCTCATTTTAAGTATGCTAACTCACCCCTGGTGAACTTTTGGTCTTCCCATTTTCTATCTTTCCTCCTTTCTTATTGTAGCAAGGGAGGGCAATCTGGGTTCTTCAAATATTGCTGTGCTAGTGAAGGTGCTGAGAGTTGTAGTTTAGCTTTATGTGGAGGCCATATGCTTTGCATCTCTGCAAAACAGTCCAACTAATGTGCAAGGATATTGGTTGAGGTACTTATGATTCCTTTATAACAGATTAGAAGATTTAAGATCTCTCTTTGGAAGGTTACAAGAAAGGTGTTGGCCTGATTAACACATTAACCCAGTGGTGGGATTTAAATATGTGAACAACAGGTTATTTATATGGATGCCACTTCTGGAAGTCCATTCTGGGTCTAGGCAATTAAAAATTAGCTACCAGTTTTGCCGAAGTGGTGCGAATTGGCCGAATCCCACCACTGCATTAACCCATCATTAGCTTAACTATGGTTTGTTCAATAAATCAGAATAAGTCATAGAGCAAATTTTATGTATTACAGTGGCTGGATTCACACAACACATTAAGCTTTAAAGAAGTAAACTATCTTTTAATTCAGCCTTATTGTGTTATGGAATCTCAGACTATATAGCAGTAACAGGAAAATGAGAATTTTCCAGTGCCCTATCCCATATTGCCAATGGTGAGGGATTTCAGGAATTTAGCACCATCTGGAGGGTCAACCCTGATGTTTGATTTTCAAAAATCACCAGATTTGTGGCGATGTGTGGAAAAGAACCATTTAGAAATAAATAAATGCAGAGATTTGCACAGCTAGTTTATGAAAAGCTCCTGGGAAGCTTACCAAGATTTGAAATCTTACCCTTTCACCCACAAAAAAGTTCCTTATAGATTGTTGGTTTTCTTGCGGTGAACTATGTACTCCAAATTTCATTGTAAGCTCCACTCCTTTGATAACATCAGAATGCCATCTCCTGTCCTTAAAAGCTCTTAACAGGCCAATGAAATGAAATGAAAGGCAACCTGCAGCTGTAAAAAGGCTGGCTTTTCCTGCCTTATTGCAACACTGGGGCTACTGTATGAGAGAAGGCAAAAAGAAGCAGGAAGTTGAACAATGATTCTTCTTTTTGAGCTCATTTTTGGAATGAACAAAATGCTTAGGAACAAGCAGGTCTCTGAATCTTGTGGGCAAGAAATTCAAAAGGGAATCAAAGATGTGCATAAGTTTGATAAGCAGACAGAAATTTGGGTACACTGGATTCAAAATGCAACTAAATGAACTGAGACAGGAATCATCTGTCTATCTGAACTAATTTTCTGTAAAATGAGATGTATTTATGCAATCATGATTATAACACGTATTACTAACTGCAACATTGAGTATGTATTTCCAAATTTCAGGACCCAGAAACAGTCCACTGCCATACAGATTAAGAATTGCTTTGTAACAGGCTGCTACAAACTAGTTTTAACTTACTTTTGATAGAGAAAATATGCATAAAAAGTTTTTCTTTAAGTAATAATTAACTTACAAAATTCCTGGTCACAGGACTGTGGGATGACCTCTGGCTTAGATGGCTTTACAAACTAAAACTGGACTCACTGCATTTAAGGGGAGTGCCTCTTGGATTTTTTTGATGATAGATATAAGCAGTAAGGCAGTGTTTCCCAAACTTGACAATTTTAAGGCATGAGGACTTCAACTCTCAGAATTCCACAGCCAGCAACGCTGGCTGTGGAATTCTGGGAGTTGAAGTCCACATGCCTTAAAATTGTCAAGTTTGGGAAACACTGCAGTAAGGAATAGCCAGCACTATTAAATCTCATTATTCAGCCTTACAGATAATCTGGCTCTTTGCTGTACTCTAATTACTGGCCAGGCTTAACAGAGAGAAAGAAAAAAAAAATAGGTGCATGATCTTTCAAAATAAAACCTAGACTGCATGGCCAAAACTTCATGATAAATAATGCTTTCTTTATGGTCAGCCACAGTTAGCAGTTGGGAAACCAGCACCATTATCAACATAGCAAATACAATAGACCTACAATGCTATGCCAAGAATAGAAATTAAAAAGTGTTTTGTCCAGAGGTCATTCCCACCTTAACTGCAATATATAGCAAACAGAACTCAAACACAGAAGATTTATTTATTTATTTATTTATTTTTCAGTGTTTATATGCCGC